CTTGTTTCTCCATTGCCAAAAAAACTACACTCATTACAAAAGTTATGCTCCAATTATAATGACAATTCGATCACCCTTTACCATTGAATTCAATCATTGAGACAAACTCATTGAGAAGAATTCTTCCAAATATTGTTGTGGGACAAAATCCAGCCATTTCCTATGAACAATTGGACAAACTCTTAGAAGATGCAATGTAGTTTCCACAAAGGACTCACATCTCAAGCAATATGGGTTTCCTCCCCAAGTTGCAAGGCGTCTTCATTCATTAGTCAATAGTCGCTATGAGCAATATGTTTCTCCAAAAGCGTCTTCATTCATTAGTCAATAGTCTTATGAGCGACTAGCAAGAGGAAAATTCTAATACATTGAGGTCGGGAAAACTGTCAAAAAAGTCATAGACCTATTATACGACGGCCAATAAAATCCTAAATCTTTCAATTATGCAAATTTAATCGGGATAAAAATATTAGAAATGTCATAACCTTTTTCTCTCACTTGAATGCCACATTGGTATATAATCTTTTACTTAAATGCCTATTCTGGCAATTCATCCTATGTGGCATTTTAAATCATATTTTTGAATATGACCTGGCTTTTTAGAAGAAATTGAAGTTTCACGTGAAAAACTTTTCATCCTATATAGGAAAAACTAACAAAACGACGATGTTGTTTAGGAAGGCTCTCTCTCTCTCTTTCTCTCTCTCTTACTCTCGCTCTGTTTTCACTTGCTTCGGCTTGAGAGTATAGTCCGGTGACTTCGACACCGCTCCTCCTCCGTCATCCATTGTCGCTCTCTCTTCTCTGTCCTTGTGCTTCCTTTGAGAGCCCAAAATCCGTTGGTGGATGAAATAAAGAAATGGCGATGGTGACTCCTAAGAGAGAATGTGTGAGAGAATCTCTTATTGAGTTAGGGTTATTCCCCCACGAATGACCCTCTCCCTCGCCCTCGCGTTCGCTTACTCTGAGAACCCCGATTTCGGGTTGGAAGTAGAGTTAGGGTGCTTCACCAACTTTTTCAATTTGGACAGAATTTTGCTCCAATTTTCTTAAATTGAATTAGGGTATGTCGTTTAACTTCTCATTTTCTAATTTCATCCTGCCGACTAGCCACGTTGGACGTTGTATAGTAAAGTAATGCCACGTTGGATTTTCTGGCAGAACAAATCGCCAATGGCACTCAAGTGAACGATTTTTAAAAAATGTGGCACTCAAGTGAGGGGAAAAAAAATTATGGCACTCAAGTGAGCGATATACAAAAGTTATGATACTTATAGTGTTCTTATCCCCAATTTAGTCCTAAACATTTTGGTGATTTGCCATTTTAGTCCTAAACCTTTCACCGAATTACCAATGTAGTCGTTTAAGCTAATTTTGGCCGAAAATCGCCGGCGTGGTGTTTAGTCAACGCCAACTATCTTACGTGGCATGGCTAGCACCTACGTGAATAATTTTTAAAAAAATTTGATAATCTTTTATTTATTTACTTATTTTTCTTTTCTTTTTCTCTTCACAAGGCTGGTGGCTGTCGAGGATCGGTGAACCCTGCTAGCCCTAAGGCTAGGGCTGCGAAGCCCTCTTCGGCCGTGAGTAAGGGTTGTGGCCCTCACCAGATTTGGTGAGGCGAGGGCATCGCAGCCCTCACTGTGGCCCTTAAGGGCCTAGGCAAGGGCTCGTAAAAGCCCTCACCGGCTATAACAATTTCCAGTCAAAATTGGCCGGAATGACTATATTGACAATTCGTTACAATATTAAGGAATATATTGTTAAATCTTAAAAGGTTTATAACTAAATTGATACAATTGATAGGTTTATAGCTGAATTGACCGTCGTACAATAGGTTTATGACTAAATTGACACAATTAAAAAGTTTAGAACTGAATTGAATGTTGTACAGTAGGTTTAGATTTTTTGGACAATTTTCCCTATTGAAGTCCCTTCTGGTTTAAAAAAAATAGACCATTTACTATCATATTCATGATTATCTACCGCATTGATAACCTCGCACACAGAATTCACAAAAAAAATTAAGACTCGCTCCCAATACCTTCCCACAAAGACTATCTTCCCCCATCGTAGGCTAAAAGAGCTTTCACGGTCCGGATACGAGCAATAGGCTTAGTGGAAGAACCAAAGATCTAATGTCACGGGCCAAATTCGAGGAGGGAGAGAGAGAGAGAGAGTCGTGTGTGTATAGGATGTGTGTCCCTTCGGAAGGGACGGGCAAAAAATGAAAGAGAGAGAGAAAGAAAAAAGAAGAAAAAATAGAAGAAGAATAAGGAATAAATCTCGGCCGTTCAATGGACCGCTCAAGAGTAACAAGTTTTTAAAAATTAGCTCATAATTTTATAGGTTCTCAACCCGTGATGTAATAGCAATATAGGAAGACTACGCCGAATGTCAACAATGGAAGACTGCCCATATTTTTTTATCTACGCTCCTCCGGTAGTTAAATTCAATTCCTTGGTATTAATTTCACGTCCAAATGTCACTTCGTCTTATGTAGTCATTCAAGTCACAAAGTCAATTTCACTTTGCGTGTTTAATTGAAGTTTGTACGGGTTTGACAATTTCATCCCTAGAAGCAACAGAGTGCGAACAATGATTGAATTGTAAAGTGAGCGTTACCCTTTTCATTTGCAGACTTCGGGAGCACGAGCACATAGATTTGATTATCTAGAGGATTACAAAACACTCTGTAAATTCTACGAACCGATTAAGTCAAGATATTTGACCTGTTTAAATAGCCCTAACTCATAACAATTTGTACGTAATTGATGAGATTCGAATAAGTGAATTCCAATACTTGAGCTGGAAATCTCCTAACGTCGTAACCAACTGTATCGAACATGAGGCGATATTATAAATAGGTAAGTTTATTCATCATTGGAATCTTTATTCAGAAACTAAGATCTTTTCTCTATATTTTTAAAGGTGGTGGTTCAGTAGGCTCATCCATTAGGACATGATGGACCCAAGGGGCCTTGGCTGTTATCCTTCCACCGTAGGAGCGGGAGGTTTTCGTTGCTATGCTAAGCTAGTTTCACATCGGCCCCTCAACCCTAGGACCCGTGCGGTGCAAACCTTCGCCCGGCTTGTATGGATCAACTCGGCTTGGAAAGGGTAGGCCAATAAAGAGCCATAGCTGGCTCGGCACGCGGGAATGGATCCAATGTCCCACCACGGTAGTGCCCCCACTCAGGTTACAAGCCCGCGCGACTGAGCTTGGCATACTTTGATGATATCTCGGATATTGAGTGTAGATAGAGTTAGAACTCTCCTAGTTTCACTTATCTACTTATGTATGTACATGAAAAGGGGAGCTTCTTTAAATTTCTTTTTTCCAATGTCTTGATCGAGCAAATTAGCCACCCCCATGATGTTGTCATGAAAAGGGAGAGGAAGAAGAGAAAAATATATTCTGAAAAGAATTGGAAAGTTAATGGAAAGCATGGCAACAACAACACAAATCTGAGGGGGAGTGAAGAAAAGAAAAGCAATTAGAAAAGGAGTGGAGGGAGGTGCACCGCAGATTCCGTGCTTCCAGGCTTGCACTCCAATCATTCATTCCCCTTTTTCTCACAGAATCGTTGAGGCAAAGTCATGCACTTTCCCCTTCCCCTCTCTCTCTCTCTCTCTCTAAAAATATTCATTGCAGACCCATTTCATTACTCGTATTAATTGTACAGTCGTAATTAATCATAACATATAAACCATGTACGGTTCATACTTTGGTATTAAATTTAACTTTAACCTTTCTTCATACCCACGAAAGCCGCAACTAATCTCAAGGCCTTTGTCATCCTACCCGTCTTCGCTCGTCGAGATGTGAAATTTCACGCTCGCATCGCCCCGTAACTCAGAACGAACGACCTGTTTTGTCCATTTCATCTTTTAGAGGAGTGAGTGATTGCTTTGGCATGTGTGGGAAGGCATTCAGTTGGAATGCCCATCGTTGTTTGGACATGTTTTTTAGTGCAGTCTCTCTCTCTCTCTCTCTCTCTCTCTCTCTCTCTCTCTCTCTCTCTCTCTCTCTCTCTCTCTCTCTCTTGTTTTTGGGTGCCACTTTTTTAAGGATGTTGGGTTGATGAAGACGTGTGAGCAACTGGGGACAGCAACATGAAAATGGCCTAACGCATTACATTGTTACCAGCACTCACGAGGGAACACACACAGACAGTCTCTCTCTCTTCTCTCTCTCTCTCTCTTCTGTCCAAAGAGGAAGATTCGCTTAGGGTTGGCATTCTAGACCAGCATTGACAATTCATGTATATCTTAACTGCACCACTAATTACACTCGTAACATGTTCCGTGCACAGCTCAGACTCTACTAGGCCATTAGCTCCATGGTAAGTTGCAACAACAGAAAAAGAAAACGAAATTTTAACTGCATGCGGAGACACAGAGGCCCAGATGAATTCGGGAGGAGAATTGACCGAACCACTCAACGAGGGGGGACAGTGTTGAATGAGTTGTTGACGGGTAGCCTCCCTCTGTGCTGTGTCCCTCAAATCTGTTGAGGGGGTGTCCTTAGCATGAGGGCTAAATTTAGGACAGTTGAAGTGAAATTAAGGTAAGTTGCAGAGGCTAGTGGTTGTGATGAGGTGGTGGTGCATCTGGGGTCTGGCCAAATTGAGGAAGAGGGCATGCTTATACCGTGGAATGAAGAAGGGCGCCACAGACATACAAAAGCCAAACAACTGGTGGGAGTCGTTTTTGCATCTGCCTCAAGTGCGTTGGCAAAGTGCGGGAAAGAGAGTGTGAAACGGACTTTACGTTCCCAGCCCTCCCCTCCCAACTATTTTTACTCTCTCTCTCTCTCGTTTTGCATATTTTCAGTTACACCAGTCTCTTGATTTCTTCTCTCTCTCTCTCTCTCTATTAATCATTATTAAACTCTGTCTATATATAACTTGCAAGAGCTGGGAAATCAAGAAACATTGGCATACACTAACGAGTGTGTGTTTCCATCCATTGGGGTTTGTCTTTTTTTACTCCCTTCTTCGCCTTACAATCCCTCCTCCTCCTCCTCACTATTTATATTCCCACCACACTCCATCAATTTGCTTACCCCCTCTCATCTCCATCCCTCCCTCTCTCTCTCTCTCTCTCTCTCAACAATGGAAGTCACCGCCGGAGAAGCCTTCTCAGGGCCCCGGGACTACGCTGGCCGCATCGCCAAGCGCAAGCGGACAAAGAGGCAGAGAGTGCAGTCCCCGTACCATTTTGGGATCGCCAGTTCGCCGAGCGACGACGATGACAGCAGCCGCGACCATGTCATTGACAACAACCGCGCCATCGTTGGCACCAACAATCACAATTTCTCTCCAGCATCCTCAACGGAAGTTGAAGGGATGAGCACCTTGGAGGAGGAAGACATGGCCAATTGCCTAATCCTCCTAGCCCAAGGCCATTCTAAATTGCCCCAAAAGCAAGCAATATTGGAGCAAGATGTTGCTGACCCCAAATTCAATAGCAAGAAGTACTTGGAAGCATCCACAGGCACAGGGAACAAGATTGGGTATTATGTATATGAGTGCAAGACTTGTAGCCGTACTTTCCCTTCCTTCCAAGCTCTAGGAGGCCACCGCGCGAGCCACAAGAAGCCTAACAAGGCCGCCCCCACCGCCGAAGACAAGAAGCATCACCATCAATTCAGGACGTCGTCGTCGGATGACGAGGAGTTGGCACAATTCAAGGGCCACAACGTCTCCTCATCAGCTCTCTCTCTTCAATTGAGTGGTCGGAACATGTTATTCGGGAGCAGCTTCAGTAATAAGCACCCGAAGGTCCATGAGTGCGCGATTTGCGGGGCCGAGTTTGCGTCAGGCCAAGCCCTAGGAGGTCACATGAGGCGGCACCGAACTCCGGCGGGAATGAACATAGGGTCGTCGCTAAATCCGATGACCTCCGAATCTGAGGAATCACCGGCGAGGGCTAGGAACAACGTCGTGTCCTTGGATTTGGATCTCAATCTACCGGCACCCGACGAAGATGACGCCAATGATCATAAAGATACGCGGTTTCCCTTGAGCTTGAAGAAACAAAAGCCACAACAAGAACAGCAAGAAAGCCGATCGAGGCTCGTGTTTTCAGTCCCGGCTTTGGTGGATTGTCACTACTGAGAAGGTTCAAGAATCCATCTTTCCTTTTCCCCCGATCTTATAAATTCTTTTGCGGACCTTCGGCATTCAAAGTCGAAACTGAAATTCAATGTGATCTTCACAGTTTCTTCCGAAATTACAGATTCTTTCGATTCTTTTCCTTTTTGGGTACAGTGATATACTGATTATTTCAACTTTATATGAAGAATTCTTCTTCTTTTTGTCAAAGCAATCAGCCCATGATCTGTAAGCCTTGGATTCATGTTGATTGCATGTAGCTCAAGCAAGTCCTCATGTTCTTCTCCATCGCTTTTCCAGTGGGACGTCATGGGCAAGGCCTTGTGGAGAGAGAGAGAGAGAGAGAGAGAGAGCTTTCTTGTGAATGTAAAAGATTGAAAAACAAATCGGAAACTAAGCCACGACTTTAGGTTTTTGGTGGCGGTGACAAGCGAAGCAACAAGTTTCATTAATTTCGATTCTCTCTCTCTCTCTCTCTCTCTCTCTCTCTCTCTCTCTCTCTCTCTAAAATATTGAAGTTATTGCAGAGTCAGTAACGTACTCAACATATGAATCCACGTCCTGTCCGTTTTTTCTGCAGCAAGCAAAAAACCTATCGAATGTTTTAATACACTAGGCTTTTGGTTCTTTTTCCATCTTCCCATGATTACCAACCTAGTAGCTTAAGCCGCCAGAGCCTAAGTTAATCACGTTCTAATCACTATTTATGACCCGTACGTGTTGTCATGAACCTAGATAATAACTCAAACTACAAGAAGTTATGATGAAGTTAACATGGAATTTACTATGCTTTTTAAAAAGTGAGATTAAGCTAACATACATGCTGGTCAAAGTGACTACATTAACCGAACATTAATATGGTCAAAGTGGCTAAGATTAATTAACCATTAAGCTAGTTATTGTTCTTTGAGTTAGACTAAACCAGCATCGCTCCATCATTGACTTCCTACACAGCACACAGCATACGTTATGTATGTAATTAAGTTCTGTAATATCCTTTCTTTTACGCTAAGTGAAAGGATGCTTCGAAGATTTTCCTCCATGCCGAGTTTTAAGTCAACAATTTATCTCCCAAGTACTATTTCTTGAGTCGTTGTTTAGAAAAGAAATTTCAATTATCATCGTAATCTTTATCGCTGTACATCGATCTGCATCCTCACTTTTTGAAAATTTGTACTTTTGCATCTTGTGGTTTGTTATTAGACTTTAATTAGCATCGTCTCGCCCACATCCTTGTCCACTTATTTACCAAACTGTCATTTTATGTCTCAAATTGCACTCGTCACTCTTTTCACCCCTTCTCTCGGAAAAACCCCGAAAACTTTAAATTCCCTTCCACTTTTCTCCTCCTCTATCTTCCACCACCGCTGCCCGACTAAACCACCGTCACGATAGTTTATCAGTCCGAGCCGATGTCTCTAGTGGCTAGTCCCCACCCAACAATCCTCCACTCAGCAGTGCATCTCATCCTCCCTCACCCCCCAACCCTCCTCCTCACTATCGACCCCCTCACTCCAAGATTGTTGCCATGTTCAATTTTCTTCGATGTCGGATCAATAGGGTTTGGATGACTGAATCATTCGAGTTCAGGTATTCCGGATACGGTTCGAATTGAGCATGAATTGTTGATTTTCTTAGTCGGTTTGGGATTTGGGAAAGCCTAGTCGGGTTTTCGAGTCTATTCGATTTTGCCACCTCTAACCCAAAATTAGTTCCTCCATCCTCTGATTAAATCTTGACATACATTCAATGACCAGTCAATTTCCTAAGTATCTGGCGACTCCCTGCACTCCCAAAATTGTTATAGAAAAGCCCATATAATGGATGTTCTATTTGTCCCAAGCTCATCTTCCTTCAGCCAATTCATAAGGCCATGGCCCAACCCCCGTTCCCCTAACCTAATATGCTCAACATTTACCCTTCTCTCTCTTGACTTTATTCTCACATGACTTGGTGGTGTCTTCTTCTCTCTCCTCTCCTCCTTTTTCGTGATCTCCACCAAACCAGCGTCGCTCTCTCTCTCTCTCTCTCTCTCTCTCCCTCTATCTCTCTCTCTCTACACTAAGCAGTCTATTTTTTTTATTTTTGCCGCCCTATTATATAAAGTTTTTCTTATTGTACAATGATTAGAATAAACTTTCACGTTCGTCTACCTCCCTGAATGACACACTTCCTCTACATCGACGTAGTACAATTAGGATTTTGCCTTTTGGAGTACTCCCAATAAAACTCGAACTCAAGATCATAAGAAAAGCATAAAAACTTCCTTAACATTTAACCAACACCTTATTGTATTCCAGGAAATCCAAAAACACACTATGCTTATTTCTCTTTTGCAAGGTGAAGTTATTATCTATTCTTTCCAAGAAATTTGTTAGAATTCCAGTAATATCTCTATGGGAAATGTGATTTTTTTGTAATTTAGTTTTGAGTCCTTGCATCCTAAAAAATGATGATAGCATATTTAAAGGCATGCTCATGTTAATAGGGAAAATTGTCCAATTAGTCTTAAACTATTTATTGTACGGATGCCAATTTAGTTCTTAACTTCTCAATCTTGTCAATTTTATCTAAACCTGTGTGCGAAATTCCAATGTAAGTCCTTCGGACCAATTTTCGCTGGCAATTGTTGACATGGCGATGTGCCACGTAGGATGGTCAGCGAGAACTAAATTGTCACGTCAACGATATCCGACAAAAATTGATCCGTTAGAATTTCTCCCAAAGGTTTATGACTAAATTGAAAAAAAGTTGATAACTTAATTGACATTCGTTCGATAGGTATACGACTAATTAGGTAATTTTCCCCATGTAAATATAATATTCTAGAATTTGAGGTTAATTTCTGGTCATCATTTCGATAATATTGTTTTGAATTTATGAGTGTATTGATTTTGCCAACTAATTCAAGAGAATCTACGTAAAAAAAAATCATGAAACACGCATAAAAAGTCACTTAAAAGCAATCATTAATATGACTTTCGAAATCCAACAAATAATTCTTCTAGTTTTTCTCAGCAAAATTCCCAACTACACAAAAAAAATGAGAGAAGCAATATATTTACATTACCCAAATAAACCTAAAACTGCAATAAAAATCTGTGTAGTTTCCTGTGGGTTTTTCCAGGCTTCATGTACATAATTCAGATCTCGATCATTGAAAGAATATTCCATCGCCAATAAAAAATTCTTATATAATTGTGGCGATCAAAATCATGATGACACGAAACCTACAAGAGAGAGAGAAAAAGAGAATGAAAATTATTCAGTTGAATGATGAATTTAACTAGTAGTATATAACATTATATATGATAAGTATAAACTATATCATAAATAATTTTTTTTGGCTCTTGACTTACCAAATATGGTGAAGAAGTGGTGCGCTATCGGCCTTAGGGGGTGGTGCGGCCGTGGGCGTGGGCGCCGGAGACGGTGGTTGAAATTTTCCTTAAAAACGAACAGATAATCAATAATCAATCGATGAGGCATAAACAAAAATTAAGGAAGATGCTAGAGATGCACATAGCAGTCCATGAAATTGATTTACAAAATTCATGTATCAGGTTTTTATCGGGTGCTGAATATAGTCAACTTTCTTGAAATACCCAATTACAAAATTACATCACATCAACTTGTAACATCAATTTTCATGGATCATCCTTAATATAGATTTTTCAAACATAATTCCAAAGTTATATAAAACGAAATTATTGCAACTAACCACATAGGAGGAGATTTTCCGGGGGTGGTCTCTCCTTGGCAGGATTGGGGTCAGCATCATAAACCCTAACGTAGAGCTCTTGTCCAAGGTACGAATGCTTCGAGTGTTGGGATCTCAGGTTCCACATTCCTGGGTTATCTAGGTAAGCGTAGACTGCTGTCCATTTCCCAGGATAAACCTTGTTTTAAGGAAATGGAGCATGTTACCGTAATAGTACAAGGATGTGATTTCTCTATAGGACATCGTAACGTATGATTATATATGTAGACATGTGTAGCTTGGGAAGAGAGAGTCGAGACGAACCTGAACTGTAGACCGGACGACCGGATCATCTATGTTGTATGTCGATCGCGAACTGGGCATCCAGCCTCCGTCTCCAAACCTGTGAATTAGTGTGTGATCCAATGCATCGATTCGTTTCTCTTTCATATTCTCCGCAATTTTTAGCATTAATCGGTTTCAAGACGATCATCATCCAACGGGTACATGAAAGAACTTGGGAGGATTCATATCTACACTTATTTTAGGGTACATCTCGACTCGGTTCCAGGTCCGATCCATGGGTGAGAATTCACAAAAGAAAGGAAGAGACGTCTACGTAGAGTAGCGCGACATTTGACCAAGTAAAATAGTAACTTCTACTTGCGTCTGCATATAATTATCACAAACCTTGCTAGGAAAAATAATCAGGCCAAGACCAAAATTAGACCTAAATCCTGCAATAATAACTATAGAAATATCATGGACGGAGAAAATTCACAAAAGAAAAACTACTTACCCGACCACATAAAACCCAAACCCGTCCAAGTGCCAAGAGTCCATGACATCCAGGCCGTTCATGAAGACGAGCTCGATCCAACCCTTGTGGATGCCGGTCGTGACGAAGACGCCCAATTCGGCCACCGGGTTCACAGACTTGACCGGGTACGAGTCGAGCTGGTACACGCCCGACGTGTTCCCGAAGTAATCAGCCAGCTTGAGGGGGGTCTCCGGGGTGTGGTATGACACGTTATTCACCGTGTAGCGGGGCGCTCCGTCGATCTCGGCGGTCGACCCGTGGAGGACGAACGTCTGGTTCGGCGTCACGTGGGAGACGTTGAACGTCCCTTGTGGGTTCGGCCTTGCGGCACCCGCCGTCATGTTCCACCTTTGGTGACGGAAGCCCCACCGGCGGAAAACATTAGAGAGAGAAATAAAACTTTTAAATAATTCAATTAAATATCGGAGAAAATGGGTTCAACGATAACTGGATAAAAAAGATTAATTTTTGGTCATTTAATATTGTTGTTTAAAATGATCAGAATAAACTCTCGAACCATCTTACAAGTCTCTCACATTTCAATTTTGAGTTTGAAGCTTACTCATTCAAAACTATTCAAATTCATTACCCGAAATTTGAAATGCGAGAGATTTATCCGAAATGATTTTTCATGAATTTTGAGTTTAGAACTTACTCATCCTAAACTATTTATAATTTGTTACCTGAAAT